AAATGACTACCTCACCTTCATAACCTCCCTTGTTTATCTGAAAACACAAACAGAATAGTAACAAAGACGGTATAAGGATAACGTCTTACATATTTCCTGTGCACTGAATTAGTTCTGATATTCACATTTTTAGTAAATTTGGCTGCGGGATTTTAAACTTCTCACTCGTTCTAAAAATACTACCATTTTGACTCATCTTCCCAATAAGTTTTCAATATATTTTGTGTTCAAGCCTTTTAGAAACAGAGCTGAAAAATAATATATTTTATATTTTACAGTCAGTACCAGAAGTTACCATTGGATAGCAACTTTGATGGTTTGATGGCATTTTAAACTTCATGCACTCAGATTATAAGTGTTTCTAACACTTATAATCTAACATCTATAATCTGAGACTTGAAAATACACATGGGGGACAAAATATTAAGAACATTTTAAAATATATTGCAATTCTGAACACCACACACACACACACACACACACACACACACTACACCCTAATCATAATACAATTTTTAAGACCACTTTACCGATATTTGGCAATTTAAAATGCCTTTCCCCACCTTTCAGAGCCATGACATATTTCCCTGAATATCATTCATCTTCTTGTTTACACTCTGCTTGAATCAGCTGGTTGTTGATCATTACTAACAGAGAAGATAAACAGTACCCTCTGGTGGACAAACTATGAAACATCACTGATAACATGGTTGAAGGGCATTTCTCCTGTCTTTTCTAAAATGTTTTGATTTACTGGTTTTCATAATGCAGATAGCAACAGACTGGTAAATAGCCAATATCAGCTGATACTATCAATGGAAATCTAAATCTTTTACGCATGTAACCTAAATAATAAAGTAGAATGATCATTTTTTAAAGTTAGAAATGAGCAAAAAAAATGTACACGTTTTCCCAATTTATGGCAGAACTTTATTGGATTTTAAAGGTATGGCCCACCACACACAAACTGGTAGGTGGAAGTTGGCAACTACAATATTCCCTCAGTCTGCTTTCTTGTTCCTTCCCCAAGCCAAAGAAAACCTCAGGAAAAGGTTGACAAATCTATATTTCAGCAGTTCACTCTGAGCATGCTGACATTTTGCTCAAGCTTATGCCGAATTTGAGCTTGTTAGCGAACATGTTGAGAATAGGCTGGTAAACCTGAGATTGGCCCAATTTTTTACATAGGTTTTGAGTGTGTGCTTTGCTTCTTACTTCGGGTGTTCAGTTTTAGAAGGGAGTTTGATTTAGCACCACAAAGGAATTTCTTAGGAAATAGGAAAGAGGAAACGCATTGTTGCCCAGGCACAGCATTGTTTGCCCTAACACCTCTCCCAACACACAAGCACCCAATAACCCAAACGTGATACAATGAATTCATAAGAATTGGAAAAGGGGAGGGGACAGAGTGGAAAGGGGGTGAAGGGAAAAGATAAGTTAATGAGAATCCATTCAAGGCTCAAAATTGTGTTTATTGTCATCAGGGCATTATCAAGTCCAAGTTAAATAACCATATCTAAACAAATTAAAAGTTCAAGCAGTTTTTGTTTTTCGCTTCTAAACTGTGATTTCCCATGATCTGTTGTACTAGTTTAACACAACATCACCAACTTGCCTTAATTCTTGCACCAGAGCTCTCTTGAAGTTCACGGATTGTGGCTCCTCCACGACCTTTTAACAGAATAAAATGTGTTTTAGAGTCTAAACCTGCAGAACCTCCAGGGTATAGGCCAACCTCATCACCTACACAGCTTCTTCGCGCGGACCAATCAAATCTAAGCTAACGCTAACAACACAACTAAATGCAGCTTTGCTAAGACCGTGAAAGCCTTGTTACTGTAAATTTCATCTCCGCATTAATTCTGACAACGTACCTATTACTCTTCCAATTGAAGTAGTTTCCACTGTGATAGTCAGAGGCCGGGAATACTCTTCTTTGCTAAACGTCGTCTGTCGTCCGGGGTCTCCACGATCACTTCCACCTCCCCACTTGTTGACCTCGGGACCCGGGCCGCTACGATTAGCTCTCCTCTGCCTTGGGGCTCCAAATTTGGTTCCATTTTTCACACCGAAAACAACATTTTCCCTTTGACGGTCATTACATGAAAATTTCCAATCGGCCGAAACCGGTTTTGTAGCAGGTTTGTAGATAGCAACTCCGTCCTGGTCGTACTCATCCTCCCAATCAGACATTTTAAGCTTGGCTACCCAACAGCTACCTATGCACTACTTCAGTAAGCGCAATTAACGGTCGAACAGTGAATTCGCGGACGGCGCCGCGTTAACGTCCTTCCCGAAAAGTTAGTTTTTCTAAAACTTTTTCATAAATTTACATCAGACGTGGCTTAAATTGTATAGAAAATTGTGAAATTTCAGATAAAAAGAATGCCTAAGAAATATCCATTTGTTAATTACCCTACCGTTTAGAGAGTTGAAGGCTATAGATTCACAATGTTCCTTTGTCTTCTTATAAATAAGATTAAGAATTTCCACCAAAAAAGACACAAAAACAAAAAAGTTCAGATAACCTGTACTTTATTAATGAATAATAAAATTCTTTGCATTTCTCATCCAGAGAACATAGTGTGCACTTTAATAAATTAATTTCAAAGAAATAATAAAGTTAACATTATCAAGCTTTAAGGCCAGTTGTGTAATAAATTATCGTTCAAGCAATACAGAAATGGTATTATTAGCCATCAAAGCCATATAAAGTCTGTGACCAAGGCGACATAACTTAAGTGAACTGGATGCCCAACTGAAAAGCAGGAGTTTGACTTCAACTATACAATATGCATAGTCTGTAGGCAAACGAGGCCTTTATAGCTCCGTGAAGAAGAAAAAAATAATAGGAGGATTCTCAAGCAATATACAGACAGCAAAAATAGGCATGTTTTCTTTGGGAGGGGGAGGGCAACAATTGCAGTTTTTAAGGTTGTCCCATCTGTGTTTGGTGTTTTGCTTCATTGTTGCTTATGGATTTGGCCTGTTCTCATTTTTAACAAAGCTCAATCAATAGCTACAACTCAAATCTATGTCAATATTACATAAGCATAAACTACAATGTCACATTTCCAGGTCAATCTCAACAGAAACACACTGTGCTTTCATGATGACAATATATTTTATCATACCAGAACAACTTCTGCATGGTCTATAAAACACTTTAAAATCAGTCTACAAGTGTTAGCAGTTGTCATTTGTCAGAAGATAATACTCGCTATATTCTTTTATAGGATGTTAATATTCTAAGAAATGCACTTAACTCTCTGGGGATATAACAGAAAAAATGATGAATAAAAGGACACGAATAGCACAAACAATACATTTTAAGACTTCTGTGACAACATACAAAACAAATCAAAATGACTAACAAAAATGAAGATGGCTGACATAGTTTTTGTGCATAATTCTCATTTAAACACCAGTCAACCTATCTAAAAGAAAGAAAGGCAGCAATACAAACACTGTTTATTAAGACACTTTCAAGACACCAGTTTTTCAAAAATCTAACACTGAAAACATACAAGCCTCTACATCTCCTTAAAGATTAAATGTACCATAATATAAACGGTCCACTTTAGTCATTTTCGAGATAGTGACAATAAAACCCAGAATGGTTAAATATTCTAATTAGGACTGAGGTGAGTGAGGATGAAGTGCGTACCAACATCCTGGTGAAAAGAGTCCTTATATAAGCCACATATAATCTCAATCTAAGATCAGGCTTCATCAGAGAAGTCACAGAAAATATCAATGAGGTTTTTCTAGTTTGATCACAAAGAATGGCCTTTAAATGTTGTTGTTTTGTCATAAAATAGTAAGTGGGTTATCCACATAAGTAGCAACACAGGTTTTAACTTCTATCAAATTAGTTCAGATAATATTGATCATGTAGGCAGACTTTGTTCGTACCGTTTTGTTAAAAGTTTGGAGCAAACATTATTTTGACATGCAGATGGAGGTCTGAGTCACCAGGAAATGCATGAGCACTTTTGAATTACAGCTTAGACATGCAGCATCTCATGCTTGGCTGAGAAAGCCCACTTAAAAGTCTACCACAGTTCAATATTCAAAACAGCTGCATCCAACTTACTGGGCTACTATCCAAACCAAGTGGGAGAAATTCCAACACTTGTTTTAAGTCAGTGCTGATAGGACATTTCTTCCCATTAGGTCTGCTGCATTCAAATTTAGTTACAGTTTGCTGACAGATTAGACCAACAATCCAACCACATCAACATTAACAAACACTTCAGCAATTGTAGGAAATGAAGAAAACGAGATTTCTGTAGTCTGCACACATGCAACCCTGGTTCAACCTTTAAGTTTTTATACTTCAGCTGTTTCTCTCACACCAGGCCTCACCCTTTATTCCCTTTATTTATATTTCGTTTTTCAAACTGTCCATGTAGTGATATGTATGAAAGCATAGAGTAAGTAAAAGGTGAAATTTTAAGTTGCCAAAGACAGACAGTGAACTAGCAGAGTGAGTGACTCTCTGCTTCTTCCAAGAAAAGTTCTTAGTCAGTCTCAGCTCTTTGTCATGTTGGCCTTTCTTAGAGTAGTAGTAGTTATTGTTAATGGTCACAACTGTCAGAGTGTAAAAGAGTTCGGCGGATGTGCATGTACATGTGGATGCTGGTTTCACCACGTGCGTAGAAGCTGACCAATGAGTTAGAGTGAAGTAGTTCTGGCTGTGAGACAGTTATTCAGCATTCTTCTTCCATTATCCTTTAATTTGTAAAGTGAAAAGTTAGACTCGAAATTGGGTTTACTTCTGAGTCAGACTCAGCAAAAATGTAAAATTGTTGGACAGTAACCTTTTCTCACAATGCGCCCCATTATTTGATTGGCATCTACAGCTTTTCCAACAAGTCTGGATCTAGAAATAAAATTAGGATTCCTTCCAAGATTCCTCTTCAAATTAAGCATCTTTTTCTTTAATTTATGATAGTAAATATGAAAAACTTGGTCATTTTTGTATAAAAACAAAATATTGTTTTTCCAGTAAGGTTATTTTCATTTTTGTGTATTGATTGTATATTTTGTCTTACATGAGTATGGCCACTTGCATACATACGTGTACATTCATTTACTGTATAGGCTGTAGTAATTTTAGTACCCTATGAAAAGTGTGTATGCAACTGGGAATAAAAGTGTTAGACAAAATATCAAAACATTGTTCATATAGAAAGGATTTATTTGCAAAACTTGCAACATAATCTGTTTACTGCCCTGTAAAAATATTTTAAAAAGTGGCTTCACCCACAGTGGTGTTTACATACAGTATGGAAATGTGTGTCTGTCAGTAAGTGTGGTTATGCCAGCTGTATGTGTGAGGACTGACTGAGAAACTCTGACTTTCCTTTTGGGTGAGGTGCAGCCTCCTCCACAGTCTTTAAAAGGTCTGAGGTGCTGCTTCCAGGTCCCTGTGACAGGAAGTCGAAATGTTCCTCTGATGTTTGTAATTTGCACTCTCTAATAAAGAGTTCTGTATCATCCCAGTTGTTGAGCTCATCATGGGCAGTGCTGCGTTCGCTACCATTGCTGCTGCTGCTGTTGTTGAGTGCAGAGGAGAGACCAGGGGCACGGTTGGTCAAAGGTTGACTGAGGTTCTGCACAGAGATCGACTTCCCAAGACCACCTTCCCAGTCTGAAGCCCTCCCATCTGGGCTCGAAGAGAGAAGCAGCAAGGGCTTCACCTCAAGGCTCATGTGCCTCCTCCAGACCCCCTCAGATTTCAAGCCAGGCTTCTCCCGCAGCTGAACCGTTCCCTGGCCAAAGGCTGCCTCGTTGTCACCTTCTTGGTCAGAATCCACACCGCATCCTACAACAACAGAGGGGCCAGAGCTTTCCTCGTCCACTGCCACTCCATCTGTCAGATCATCTGAGATCGGGTCAGCAGGGCATCGGAGGTGAGAGGGGTGTACCATAGGGGGGAGTTGAAGAGTGAAATTCCCCGTGGAGGAAGGTGGGGGCGGCAGATCAGGGAAGTGTGCTTTTTTCGGGGTACCATTGGTGGTGACCAAAGTTGGATAAGGGCTATCAGGGGGCAGCAGAGGTGATGGGGAGAGCGAGGCTGTGGATGGTGGATAGGATGGAGGGGCTGAGTCCGGAGGAGCATCATCATCAGCTGGTGCCAGTATGAGCCGCAAGCCTCTCGGGTTGGGATTGAGAGAACGACGCATGCCGCCACTGTTGTGTCCTCCGCTTCCAACAGGCTCACCTCCCTGATGGGAGGGAAGATCCCTGCCAATGATTGAGGTCGGGTAGTCCGAGTTATGATGCTGGTTCTCCAGTTCAAACAGGGGGAGGGAGGAGAGGGTGAGTGCTGAGGGGCCTTTCTGTAGGACTTGGCGGTAAATATCCAGCAAAGAGTCCAGCTTTGATTCAATGGAAGTTACCTAGGCACAAAAGAAAAGAGAATAAGAACCAAGGCTGAAAGAGCTGAATACTATTCTGTAAATTTTCTGGGGGTTTCCAATACAGATAAATTGATACTGTTAAAAGCAAAGTTTCATAGGTATTGGTCAAGAGCCCAAACAAATCACCAACAATGTGAGGTAATAAAAGTTTATGAATGCATTTTACATGCATTCTGTGTTCCTTATTTTTTTTCTTAAACCCACCTGCCTCTCCACCTTACACACACGTCCAAGCATGCTCATGCCCTCTAGGGAGTCTCCATCTGGGTGCAGTTTGTCCCTCATTTTTTTATCCACAGGAATCTGGCCTTTTCCCAAGATCTGATCCACCCTGAGATACACACATACATTAGGATTATTATACTAGAAAATAATGACGTTGTAATATAAGAAGGCATCCCTGCTGTATTTCAGGTTATCTGCAGGCAGACAACAAACCTAAAGCAACAGAAGGCTAAGGTTAGGGTTAGTAAAAAAAAACCCCACACATGGCTTGAGTGAATCAGTGCTATAGTATAAAAACAACTATGGAAAAAAAGGAGGAAAATCTATGGGAAACTTAATTTTAGGATCGGATGTAATACATTTTGTAGCAGTTTGTTTGTGTTTGCATGTTTTTTTTTTTTTTAATAGAATATAAAGCATATTTAATAAAAAAAAAAAGCTCTGAGTGAGCTGCTTCTTGCAGTGCTTGATTTAAATTACTGTCAGATTATGTCAGAGTATTCATTAAATGGTTGTCTTTGTTCTCTGACAGTTAATTATGTTCAGTTAGTGAAGTTAATTTTCATACTTTGAGTTCCAAAGTAATGCACAGGTGCCTGTTTTCACTCAGGAAAAAATAAAAAGCACATCCAAACCGCACACAACTGCATACAAATCAGCAGCATTCACATACAATAATGTTTCCACTCTCTGATGAAAGGAGAAAGAATGAAGTGTGGAAATACAGATGAGATCTAATGTGATGTCAGACAGCTGTGTTTGGGTTTGTTTGCATTTACTTCAAATATTTATGTGTCAGACACGGTTAATAAAAACCTTACCATGTGGATGGAGTTTAACATATTAAAATCATCAAGTTTTGGGTTAAAATAAGGAATTGAATTGTACTGCAATTTCATTTGCCTTTCAGTTATTGTCAAAACCTTCTGGTATTAACTACATGTTCTACTGTAAACTCCAACCATCTGGTTCTGCGGGAAAGTTAATACATTTCAGATATTTTATATCTGCTTGCAGTAACCTGATTTCCACTGCTATAGCACTTATTAGCAGCTATGGCTGCATGTGGCAGGATTTTAAAGTCTAAAATTAATTTAAGTGAAATAGAATAACCCTGAGCCAGAAAGCTTCTTCATGTGGTTGCTGTAATAATAGTGTAGTGCAGGAGAGGACATATTCCTTGGCTGGGTGCGACCAGAGTCTGCTGCACTGGCCAGTCTGGAGATAGGGAAAAAACTGGATCAGGCACTTCTCTCTGACTTAACACCATGAAGCTTTAAGCACAGGTACATAAATGAACAGATACACACAGAGGTGAAGGATGGCATTTTCAAATGAATGATTTTTTGTTTATGAGGCCGCCTAATGCCGACTGAAACACAGGTCGACTGGCAAAAAATAGTATTTCTCTACAAGGTGATTCCTAAAATGCTTTTAGTCAAAAACATGGCATGTTTCAGCATGCTGTGCAGTGTGTCCTGCAATTAAGGAAACTGGACAGATAGAGGACAAAAGAAGAAGCGGTAGGCCTAAAACCATATCTACTGCAGAGGAACAACATTTAAATGTTTATCATTAACAAATAGGAAAAAAAACTGTACAAAGACCTGACACAGAACTCAAGATTTGCATCGAGCCCTTCAGTTAATCCAGCTATTGTTTGATGTTGCCTCATCAAAAACTATCTCAGGAGAAGGGTGGTAGTCAATAAGCCATTGCTTAGGAAGGGAAACAGGGAGAAAGCAAGAACTGGTGTTATTGAGTGATGAATCCAAATGAGAAAAGTTTGATTCAAATTGTCAGTGGTCTATACTGAGGAGGTCAGGAGAGAAGAAAACACTGACTGTACACCTATTTATAAATAACATGGTGGAGGCTCTGTCTTGATTTGGGGCTTCAGTCACTGGTGTTGGGGATCTTATCAAAACTGAATTACAAACGCAGATGAGTACCATCAGATTTTAATCCACTGTGCAATACCATGCGGAAAGCAATGGCTCAATTCATCAGCTTGACGATGATCCCAAACACACTGCTAATGCAGTCAAAGCATACCTGAAAAGAAAACCACGCACCATCATAGACTGATCATCTGGACAGAGAATAGAACTAAAGGCAGCCAACATCCAAAGAAGAGATTTGTAATGTCCTTCAAGAACCTGGAAAACTATTCCTGAAGACTGCTTTAAGAAAATACTAGAAAGTTCACCTAGAAGACTTCAGTCTGTGCTGAAGAATAACGGTGGTCATAGTAATGTGTGGCATGAAGCTATGTGTATGCCATTTTGACAGACTTTTCACCTAGAAGGCCTGTGTTTTCTATGTGTCCACTTATTAAGTCAGTGAAATGATTACTGCACCAAAATCGCTTCAAGTATTAAGATAAGTTATATTTGTACATTTGGCTGAATTAGTTCAAATACATCTAAGCATATGCAAATTCAAACTGGCTGGCAAAGTTAGTAGGGAAGCATTTGGCAGAAGGACCAGAAAAGGGGGTGAGTCTAACCCCGGTGTCGACCGTTTCCTGCTGGTCTGGCTGTAATATAAATGCAGGGAGGGAGAGGAAAAGGTCTTCCCACGGCTGCGCAAAGGCCTTGGAGGAGGACCCACTACAGAGTCTAGTCTGGGAGAGAGAGGGAACACACATCTACACATATGTATTTAGTTTGGAAAAGAAATATGTACTTAAAAGAATGTTAAAGTTTAAAGTTAATTTATAATGATTTTCTGTGACGTGCTATATAACCTATAGCGTTAGCTCGAATTGCAGCAAAATCAACACATAGCAGCTCAGGTTCTTGATACATCTATAAATTCCTTGATTTTGAAAGCAGGAACACAGAAATCTGTCAATATCAATCAATGTGCATGCCGTTTCCTGACCTGGTCTGAAGGCTCTTGATGCGACAGAGCATATCCAGGTGACCTGCAGAGTACTGCTCAATCACGTCCTTCACATCATACGGACGCAGCGTCTCCTTAAACTTCTTCTTTGCTACGTGGAACTTCATGATCCTATACATGCAAAATACAAATACACACACAGTGATTGCTGGGAGTCAATTTAAGTGAAATCTAGGGTGTAATTACTAAACACCACCATTAGGTGCCAGCAGTAAGTTTGAGAAAACCTACAGAGAGGTTCTTGTGCTTCACTGTTGATCTTTTCTTTTTGGAGTGTAACAAAGATAACACAAAATTTCAAATACTTTCTGAAGTATCTGATGGAAAACCAGTGCGTAATGGCGAATTTGTGAAACCTGAGTGTAATTTTCTTTCTCCTTTTATTTGGTGAACAGAGCCGCTGCTGAGTAATAATATTGATCCAGGTAAGGAGATCTATGCCTCTTGGTTCATTTAGAGTCCCCAGTGGTTTCTGGTAGTTTCCCACTGCCTATTTTTCTCACTGCCTAAATGGAAGCAGCAGTGACAGATGACCCTGTGTAATAACAGCCCTGACAGAGGAGGGGGTCTCCAGCCCTCAACCCGACACCCTGGGAAAACCCTGGGATCTGGCTGCCCATGGAGAATGGCCTGCTGAGTGTGCAGACCAGCCAGGGTTAGGTGGCAGCAGCATAGCTCGTAGATGGGAGTTTATCTGTGCAATTGTATGTAGATCTAGAAAGAGATGATGATGGTGATAGAGGGGTTTAATAAGCTTCATTATACAAAAGCATGATATAAAGTCTTTGCATGTAAACCCCTAAACTTGACAATAATCCAGATCAGATAAAAGAATGATTGAGTGGATACTGTTACTGAACTATCAAAAGGTTGACAGACTGATTTCATTCGCTTAAAGAGTGGATTACAAAAAGATTCCACTCAAACTGTTACATAACTGACTACTCTCCATTAGGACACAATGATAAAATTTGGTAAATGAAAAATCTGACATTGAAAGAATACAATTGAGTTTAAGATCAATTGTAAGATACCTCAGAAATGCATAAACAAACTTATAGCAAATGCCTGGAGAAACAAATGTGAGGTTCTAAAGGGGTTGTAAGTATACTTACAACCCCTTTAACCATTTATATTAAGTGCATGTGCTTATTTTTCCATAATTCTATATAAAGATGACAACTGAACAGAAGGAAAACAAACAAAAAAAAAGCATGGAACAAAATGCAGGGATACTAGCAGTGGCAACAACTATTTGAAGATGGAAAACTGAAAATCATAATTTGGCTTTTTATCTTGTATCAATAATTCAGAGCTTTTATTAAGGGCATGCCAGGGGTTTCAGGTTTTCACACATGATTCATTGTCTTTTTATTACTGAACCATTATTGAACCCCTGCCTTAAAAAGCTGATAAATGTAAATTGTTTTAATGGTTTTTAAATGCTGAATTTATCCAGTTTTTACCTCGTCAACAATCTGTCTCTTTATTATATGGAAACAATCGAATTCATGATCTATAAAATTGAGGCAGCAAAATTTTAATTCTTAGTAAACCATAGAAAATATAGAAACTACAGCTAAGTAGGCCATTTAAAAAATACTTCATTCATATATGAAATTAGACATTTGCACAACGAAAAAAGGTGAGAAGAAGCGGTGGAGTGAGAGAGTCATCTGGTGCCAGTAGGATAAACACTTGTTCACAGGGTGCCGGTGCCAGTGAAAGAGAGCAGGCTCAGCTAGAACACATCTACACACTATATTCATGCACTATAACAGTCATAAATACGGGTCAGTGCCGTCACATTACCAGTTGATTGGGAAGAAACTCTTGACTTTAGAGAGCACAGGAGAGGTAAAACTACTAAGATAAAAAATAAATATGTGATCAATAGCAGTATTATTAGTTCCAACATGCAGGACATATATGTAAAAGTAGACAATAAATCTACTCAACAATTTAGTTGGATTGCTGATAAAGGGTAATCTCAAACTTCATTTCAATAAACCATTATCTTTTATAACCAATTATAAATAATGGGTTTTATTATTAGCACAAACACTTTAGTTAGTCTGATTAAAAGGACTAATTTAGCATTTTGGAAAATATTCTCACTTGCATAATTGTTAAAATTAGTATAATTTAACATTTAGCAAAGAAAAATACTAATAAAATCATCCTCTTTAATTTTAGTTACAGTTTCAGCACCAGCAGCTTGTTACACACCAAGTGTAGACTTTGGAAACCTGGTGCTTCTATGCAAGAAACTGCAGGAACATTTTCTGGCATGTCTTGCTTCAGAAGCCAAAAAGAGCTCATTTGCCACTTTTTCATCAACAGCAAAAAAAAAAAAAAAAAAAAATACAGCTTAAGTAAGGGTCAGCCAAATAGCATCACCAAATCCCTACTAATTGATTTTCCCTGAAATTGCTTAACATTCGATTTGAACTTGATTTTTTCCTATGCCTGCTTCTGAGAACTACTGGTATAATATTCTGAAGTCTACTAATTAGTTGACTGTTGGTCTGCTGGCGGGTCTTTGAAGTGCATGTGGTAGTATATAAAGAGTTTCAGCGTTCTGCTCTATTCGTAGTTTAATCAAATATTTCTGTCAGGCTTAGACTTTCTGATTTATTTTCTAGTGCTTCAGAATTATTTGGCACAGGGTTAGATCTTTGCATGTTGTCCTTGTACCTGTACTGCTTCTCTCCAGCTACCCCAGCGTCCCTCAGCTTCTCTGCTGGTTAAGTTAACTGGCAATTATAAATGGCATTTTCTCTTCACTTCCTATTTTTCACCTGGTTTTCTGTTCCCCACCTGCAGAGGTTCTGCAACCAACCAAAGGCTCTACGCCCCACAGTTTAAGAACCACTGGTATAATATATTGCAGCCTGTAATTTAGCTAGCTATTTGTCTTTTGGCTGCTATTTAAAGTGCATATATTAGACTAATCAGAGTTTCATGGTTTTGTTGAATTGGTTCAGACGGTTCTCATCCCCAAAGGCATCAATTAAGGCTGTTTTGTTAAAAGCTTACGTGGCTTATTAAGTCAGAAAGTGTCCTTTTGGTGGGTTGTGCTCTTATGGCATTAGTGAGATGGGGCTGTCACTCCCAACTCATCAGCAGGTTTGCCAGGAGCATATTTTAAACCAAACCCCAATCTTTTACTGAATTTAGTTTTCAGTGCCTAAGCCTAACCAACAGATGACAGTGAAAGTAACATGTAAAAAAAAAAGCTAAAGAGAAAAGCACAAAGGTCCCAAAAGGAAATCTGTGAGATCCTCTTTCCTTACAAACATGCAGCTGTCACTGCTCCAGCCTCCTAATCCTTACTTTGTAAGGACCATTATCTATGGTGACACTGACACAGCTGATTCTAACACACTAAGACTCATGTATACTGCAGAGGCACAAAGACATCTCAAAAAATGGAATTATATTATACCCAGGGATCCAAATGTGCGACGTGCAACATCACTGCAATCTCCTACCCCTAACAAAATGATGTTTCCATTATTGCTGCTTTGAACTAGAGCTTAGAAATAGTTGTAGTTTCAGGGTTAAGAGTATATGATAGAAGATAAAGGTAGCCCACCTGACACCACAGATGGTTTGTGCACTGCTTTTAAAAAAGGCCTAAATTTGAAATTGTAATTTTGTTGCCATTTTTTAAGTAGACAGCAAGACAACAAGTGGGTAGAGCTCGGGAGTTATCATCTTCACATTTACCAAAATATGTGATTTATTTTATCAATCTTGCCATCCAGTTCTCTAAAAAGCAATTATATATCTAAAGTGTTAAACAACAAATGAAAACAAAAGCTGTGAAAAGTGAGACGTGACTGAGTTTTTGGCACCTAATGTGAGTGAAGAGGATAATGGATAAAAGCACGATTTTGGAAAGCAAACTGCAGAAGTGACCACCCTATCTGTCTTATTTTCGTAATAGTACTCCCTATTTTCGACATTGTAAGAAAATTCAATAAAATCTTCTTGAGTGTGACTGCATATTAGCATCTGAATGTGTTTTTGCTGGTTCTTTCTTCTTCAAAAAAGAATTGCTCGCCCAAAGTCTTCAAGCAGTTTGGTGATTTGGGGTTGATTTTGATTACCTCATAAGGCACTCATAAAGTTTATTTGGAGCAGGACCTCACCTGACAGCTCTGATGACAGCCTTGAGAGGTGCTGATAGATCCTCCACAGTAACATCGCAGTGGCACCCTCGCTCATCAAAGGATTCCTCTGTGGTCATGCCTGTGTCCACTGAAAGAAACAGAGTGTTGAGTCATCAATAAATGTTGCTCTGCTGAAAGCATCTGCAGTCTTGAAACTCAAAAACCTTTTGCAACTTTCTGCAAGCTGGAAGAGAAAAGAGTCTGTGAGAATGTTTCCGAATGATACTATTTTGACTTTTAGGAGGTGAAAATCTATATTGTGTTTGGGATATTTAAGACAGGAACAAAGAAACTGACATATTTTTGCCACCTCCGCGATCTATAAGATGGAAGAGGAGGGTGTATATCCTTGATACTACCGATAACAATTAGAGTGGGAGATGTGGACCTGAAGAGGACTAAATAAGCATTATAAAATCATCAATTTCAAAATTCTATGGAACCTCAAGTTATAGCATTCACAAGATTTTCAGAAAACTTGACCTCTGAACTTAATCTAAAGGTCAAGGTCACTGAGATTCGAACTTGTCCAACATTTTTAACAGATACACCTGTGGTATAAATTTGAAGCTGCTATGCTGCTTTGTTCTCGAGCTATCACATTCACAAACTTGGGTGTGGGTGGATGAGAAACCCTGGCTTGTAATTCAGTCAGGTTGTGGTCAGGACTCTGTGCAGGCCAGCCAAGTTCTTCCACACCAAACTCGCTCATCCATGTCTTTATGGACTTTGCTTTGCTCTGCTTGTTAGAACAGGATGCGACCATCATAAATGGTTACCACAAAGTTGGCAACATAAAATTGGCAAAAAATGACAACAAATTAAACTGGACATAGCAATAACAAATAATCAGCTATATTAACAATGAATTGTAATGTATGGATTTCCTCAACCAAATTTTTACCAAACTATAATTAACCACAGGGCAAAAGGTTTGTTTGAGGAAATGAACAACCTCGGCACAGGAAAGATGGCATAGAAACTTGGAAGAATGGATTCCACTAAATCTCTTCTAATCATATAAGTCTGAGTGCAAATGTCACACAGTCAGTTAAAAGACTGAACCTGAAAGGAGGCAGGGCAGTGATCCAAAACATATCTCGAACTACTTCACAAATTTAGGGGTAAGATAACTGGGTTTTCAAACGTGCTACAATACTGTTGAATTTATTTTACTTAACTTTTTTGGGTTATATTTAAGGTAATGTCTTGAAAGGTGTAACTCCACAGGGCATTTTACATATACTCCCATATTTCTTCCATATTTCTCTGAAAGTGTCATTTGTCAGATGTTGGTTTGGTTGGTTACAGTAACATTACAAGCTCACCATCTGGGACAGCTGTACGAGGCTGGCTCTTCAACCTCAGAGACGGCCTAAACCGGGTCCGATCATTGAAGCTCCAGCTCTTCTGCACTTTGGCAGGGCTGCCGCCCATCAGTTCTGTGCTGCCCACCATCTCGTTGCCAGGGGAACAGCGTTGGCGGTCATTCATGGACGTCTGCCGACTCTTCATACTCTGACCACGAGGGCTCGCCATGCGGACCCGTTCCTTAAAGCTCAACTTCTGACTGCATGGAGGGAGAGAAGACAAGAGAGAGAGAAAATAGAAGAGGAGCAGAGAAGATGACAGCGGATATGGTGAGAAACATTCATACCAGTAGAAAGGAAAGAGGTAATATAGTAGGAAAGATGTGCGAGAGAAAAGACACGGGGGAGGGGGAGGGGGGGGGTAGGAGGGACAGAAAGAATGATCAGATATAGAGAGGAAAAAGTGAAGAATGTGAGTTAAGGATTGAAGTGACAAAGAAAGAGCTTATGTGTGACACAGATTGGGGTTCAGAGAGAGACACTAGGAGAGAGACAAAAAGGGGATGCTGTCAACACCTATTTCCCCTCAGAGAGTGAGAAGAGTTCAGAGCTCAGACAAAGGGCACTGTTCTGTCTTTTCCTTTAGACCAAACATCATCCATCCAACTGACATGCCCAAAACACCAGAACAGTGCCAGACTGCCTACCAAGCCACCAAAAACAAACCCTCAGTGATCCTGAGGTGTTGTAATCGTCATTCGCAGCTGAAGCATAGTAACATTACCGTCATCACCACGGTCATTTTTAATCAACGTTAAACAAATGACACCATTATTGAGAAAAAGCCTCTAAAATTTCTAGATGGTGCTTGATCTTTTATGTTTTTGGACAAAATCTTAATTTAGATTTTATTTTCTTTACTTGCAAAAAGAACAAGATTTTTCCAAGACGAATGTTGTTGCCAAATCGCTTCCAGCATGGTAATTAATAGTCACAGGTAAGTCTACTAAAACCAGTATCAAAAGGTTAATCATTAATGAGGTTTTTTGAAGCATATAACTGTTTAATGTAGTTATTTATGATCACATTTTCACTTTTATTTCTATTAAATCAAACAAACTTGGTCTTCCTCTATCACCCCAATTTTTGTCAGGCTAAATAAATACCTAATGATATCACAAACATTTAAAAATGACAAACAAAAATGAAATTCATGACATAATGTTCACATCTTTGGAAACCTTTAAGGGGCTGCTGGGTATGCAGAAAGTTCAAAATCAATGAGATGCACTGCAGCAAACTATTACTGTATGCTGCTTGGGCAAATTGATCAGCATGCAATGCAGCAGATCGATGAGAGAGATGCAAAGCTCCAGCACAATTTCCATGCCAAAAAAATCATCTTTTTGTTCAGACCACAGTATCTCACCTGAGATTCAGTGATCAATTTACCAATTTATCTACTATTGTTTCTTGAAACTTACAGACCTGTGCAATATTACCATTCCTTTCTCTTACTTGTGTAGCAACACAATTCAGTGCTGCAATGCACAAGCTAAAACTATAAATTATCACTGAGCAATACAGTAACGATGTGATATTATACACGTACTGTTATTAATAAACAGAAATAAAAATCCAATATTGTGAACTGAGACAAATAGTTGAAGAGAAATAGATCTTTTTGTGTTATCATAGTTTCCATCATTGATTGGCATAATGATTTAAATGGGAGGTACAGCAGTAATGTAACAGTGACGTTAACAGTAAATGTAGAAGAGCTACATATATGCTGTTGAGGGATAATTTAGGATAACAAGCCCAGATCCATGATTTCCTTATTTTATTAAAGTGTCTCCCTGAGAAACTAGTATAAATATCTATAATTTGCAATTAAATGAAATCAAATTAGGAAAGAGTCGTGACAAGCAGCATGCCATGATGTCAGTTTATTGAATCCTTTTAAGAACAAAAGGGGTTTCAACATGCAATTTGTTTACTGCTGCAATTTTTTTCCTTAATCATATTAAGGAAAAAAAAATTGGTATTGCTTTTGAAAATAGTACCTTGTAAAACAAAGTCTACTTCTGCAATGACTTTAGGTGGAATTCCCTTTAATTTCTAATGCAGTAACAAAGACTTGTTTGGGATAGACAGGCAGCAGGCAGCAATAGTCAAAGAGACAAATTCCTTTATGGGATAAAAAAATAACCGGGTAAGGAAGCATTGTAAGAAGGCAGTTAAGTGGGGTTCTCTTTGTTCTCCTCCATGCCATTAGTCATTCATTCTCACAAGTTACTCTAAGGGCTAAGGGCAGGGCAGAGAGGATGCTGGGTAGTACTGTAGGTACCTCCTATATTTCCGAGAATACCTTCTGAAGAGCCTTCCATTACTTAGACCCTTACTAGAGCACAAGGGACAGATGAATGAAATGGAGGGAAAGGGATGGAGAAGAAAGGGATAAATAAGGGAGGATATTAAACCTGGAGCAGATTTCAGCTCACAGTGGAGAAATTCTCTACAGTCAATATTGATGCACAGCAAACACAGGGGCAGGGGATATAATTCAAAGAGGGATGGGAATGGGTATAACCACCTGTACTCAGTTTTCCCTCACTTTTGGGAAGACAAACATATTTACAGTACAAATCCAATAAATTTCCTGTCGGTGCCATTGTTGTTGGATCCCTGAGCTGCAGAGCTGGAGTCAGACTGGACATTTATCAGAATTTAAACTGACAGTTTATTAGTACAAAGTATGTCCAACTGAATCTATGTGCAAATACTGCATCCAATACAAGCAAACCAAATCCATATGTTCTGTCTCCTCTCCTCCCTTGTCTAAAACTTTAAATTAAAAGCTGCCATGCTTGCCAGTTTATTTGGCCCAGTTTGAAGTGAATGCTGGTTTTTCAGCAGTGTTGTGGAATAAATAAATATTTTCACATGAACAGTGTCATTGCAAAGAAATGTTTTCCTATCAGGAAGGAGGTGAGTCGGCTAGAGATATAATTTCACACTTAAATGATGAGAAATAGTTCTCTGGTTAAAAATAGACAAAGGAAATGTTAGAAAAAAGACAAATTCTTTGGAAGTCTACCTACTACTATCAGTGGGATTGAGTTATACTTCACTGCACATGGAGGTATGAACACACACACACACACACACACTCTCACACACACCTGTCTATACGCATAACCTAATGATTAAACCCCTGTTAATCTTTATTTCATGTTTCTTTTCACTGCCAATATCCAGCACACTTACGCTCAGCATGATGCCCGCTGTAGCACTTTGTGGTGCGCCTAATGTTTACTACTGCTGGTGTTTACAAGTCTGCTTAAACAAAAACCACCAGCCGTTTACCACGGCACCTACCGCCGCCAAACAGCCACAGTTGGCAGTCTGTAAAACCACTAATAACAGAGAGTGTTATGAGTTCCCTTGGTGGAGGAGAACATTTAGAAGAGAAGCAGTGTCATAAAAGTGTGCATAATTATGATTAAACGAGTGTAAATTGTTTCTAAGAAAGGAAAACCTAATTAAACACAGTCTTTTAAACAGAAGGATTTCTGGGGAATTAATGTTGTTGTGAAAGCAACAAAGCCTAATTAAATGCTATTTTGTTTAAGGATGAGAAGCACATTTGCTTGTGTGTTTGACTGAGAGTGTAAACCGTTTTTTTATATACGTATGTGTGGTGGTGTTTTAAGTTTAAATGCCTTAAAAAGCTGCTGTCTCAACATAAGGTCCCCAAATGTTGCCAAAGAAGTGCTGCACTGTAAAAAATTATACTAGCATAATTAAACTCACAAATCTTTCTGTCTTTTTCCCCTCTCTGAAATCCTCTATCTCCCCTCTCCTCCCTCTTTTTCAACTTTGGTCTGTCTCTTCTAGACTTGTGTTTGATGAGTTATATAAATACAATCCCAATGGAAAATGTGCGTCATGGTACAGACATGGTACAGGCTCCTGTGTTTGAAGAAGGGTGTGCGTTCATATGCACACAAACACACACACACACACACACGCATGCACGCAGACACACGGCAAAGACAATCACCATCACAGTTTATGAACTGAGATAGAAAATTGAGGTAAAAAAAATGAAAGAAAAAGCATTCTGTTGTTTCACAAGATTGTTTGAAAGTAGCACTTGTTTGCTGAGCAATTGCTCATAATTAAAAAATAAGCATAATTGTCTCCATTACCACACTTCTGCCTACCTGACTTTTAAATTCTGCACAGTCTCTGCACCATATGTGTGCCTGCATGTCTGTATGTGTGTGTGTGTACCATGTTTACATATCTTTATGGGGACCAAAACTTGAATACTACTACACTTGTGGGGACCAA